ATGTTATTTAGTTCATACGGCCCTCCCGTGGCGTGCAGCTGTGATCACTCTACTAATTAGCCTCGAGGTAGAGTGTTCGAGCCTTGCTGAGGGCCAGTCATTAGACAAACATTGCTCATTGTATCGTTATTTCAGTCTATAAGTACACATGAATTCTAACTGGGATGGCCTGGAATTAGCTCAGAGCACTAATTTCCCACCTTGAAAGCTTGAAATGAATAAAAATATCTGAAGGTCCCAGGTTCGAATCCAGGGTCTGCAGCTCTTACAAAACTCAAAAACACACAAAAATTTCTGTGATATGGCTGATGCTGACGGTTCGGTTAGAGAGATCTTAGCCTATCTCCAGTACCATGAGTCAGCTATATCACTGTTCGGGGTTGGCTCCCGAGAAAATACGGAATCAGGAGAGCATTCTCTCCACTCATTTCCATCTCAAATAATTGTGGGAATGCCCACTAAACTGAGTTGTGTGAGAGCTGTAAACTTTGAAACGAACTCTGGTCGAACACATACACATGTCTGGATACATACTTTCGATTATATGCACTGTTCCAATATATATGAACATAGTAACCACGCTGTAATAACTAACAAAGCATGTACACTGAGCTCGTCCGGGCAGCTTTTTCTTAAATTTTATCATTTTGAATGATCAAAAGTAGCAGGAAAATAACATATCACCGGGTGATACGGGTGATATCACCGGGTGATATGGGTGATATCACCGGGTTTATGGTTTTTGCATCTATATTGTGGAATTATCTATATGTTTTAACGGGTGATATCACCGGGTGATACGGGTGATATCACCGGGTGATATGGGTGATATCACCGGGTGATATGGGTGATATCACCGGGTTTATGGTTTTTGCATCTATATTGTGGAATTATCTATATGTTTTACTTATTTGCAAATTGAAATTGATTTATGAAGTTTGTTTAGTCTTTTGCGTATTTCATGACAATATTAATAAAAGAAATAGTTTTTTTTTTAAATACTAAAAAGAATTGAATATATCGAATAACAATTTAAAAAAATCCCTCGCTACAATATTTTTAAATTAATACGTAATTCTAAATTAAAAAAAAAAGAAAGAAAAGTCGAATATTGAGTATTCAATTATCCATAGTCCCTTTCTTCAATTCGAATCTTCAATGTCTGAATTATCACTAGTATAATATTCTGTCTGAGTCTCATCAGCTGAATTTTCTTCCTCTATTTCATCGCTTGAACCTTCTGAATCATCGTTTTCAGTTTGATCTGTAGTCTCATCATTTTGAGATTCTTCGTTTTCGTCCGATTCATCTTCATTTTCAAAATTAGGTTTTTGCTCAAACGAGACAGAAGTAAAAGCTTTTTGTAGAGCAAAGAAATTTTTGTGCACGATTTCTTGAGCCTCTTTAAATGAAGCATCATATATTCGTCGCAACAGGTTTTCTATTTCAGGACTATGATCAAAATTGTCAAGAAGTAAAAGAACTCCATTCTTTAGAGCTACTATTTGTTTCTGGATTGCTCCCACGTCATTGCTTTGGAATAATTGCTGAACGTTGGTTGCATCCTCCACTGTTTTGACAAACGATTGATCCATTTCATCTTCACAAGATTGCTCTAATCTTTTTATTTTTCTTTCAAGATCTCCTATTCGTTCAGATTGTCTTTTAGTCTCCCACTTTATCTCATTGGTGTTGTCGTGATTGTAATTCATTGGTGTAGGAAGATCATCACGTTTACTATACTCCAGCGAGAATATCTTAGCATCCAATTCCCTCAATTTGTCCTCTTGTTTGTCGTTTCTTTGTTGTACAATTTTCATGAGATCTTTCAATTCACGTAGAGCTAATGAAACTGATGTCTCACTTGTTACAGAGACTGATTCAATATCACTATTGATAGAAAAATTATCAAGATTTCTGCAGTCTTTATTAACTGAACGTGTGTCAGAATGAAATTTGTATTTGTGTGACGCTAAGCTTCGTGAAGTTTTAAAAGACTTGTAACAATGGTTACATTTGTGGGAGTACACCATCTTTGACATAGCGTTACTAGTCAAACGTGAAGTGACTTAAACTGTATAGAGTCCCCCTTTATATAGGACGTTTTTTGTTTTGTTTTACGCGATGTCACAAAAGTTAATAAGCTCTAAAAAAAAACAATGAAGCGTATCGTAGCGCGTTAATTATGAAATGATCCTGTTTATGAGTTCCTTATATAGCCGATTTATTGGGGGTTGAGAAATTTACTGTTTTAGTGATCTTAACACATTATTTAAAATAATGTTCACTCATATTAACACGATTGATTAATTTGCTGCTCTCCTATACTGCATGCTGTGTACTATGTCATACTGTTGACACACAATAATAATAATTCATTCGGTCAGATGTGTCAAATTGATCGATAAGATATTTCAAGTGCAACTCATCAAAACTGGCTGATTCTTTTGTCACATCAACAGGTGTTGTGACTTTGAGTATCCATACAGATGCAATCATGGGTCAGTATTCAACTTAATCCTGATCCAGAAAATCGAGCTTTAGGTTAAACAATTGCACCTTGTATACTTTCCTCGGAGTCTCAGTACTAGATCCAGGTTTAGGTATTAACTTCTCTCTTAGTTCACGGTCTGACAACTTAGAAATATCCCCAAAGGTCAACATCAGTCCTTATTAGAAAGCTAAAAGGTAATAAGAAAAAACTTTCTGTGTGTCACAAGTTAACACTTACATGATACTCCCGTATTACAAATAATGACTTTTCCATTAGAAAGTATATAAAGGTTGTGATTAGATGTGCAAAATGCTCCCCCAGCACTTGCTCCTTTATATAATATGAACAGGTGTGCTTAAAAGCTTCTGACAATAACTATTGTATATACTTTCTCAATTCTCATGCAACATACGCAGTGTTCAAGTTACAGTACACACTACATAATTGTTATCTAGGGTTAGCCTCAGTGTAATAGTATGGTCTCCCCAAATTAGCCAAATGTTAATGAGGAATAAACACTCCTAATTAGGGTTAGTGTATACAATTAACAATTAGGATTAGCAAAAATCACCACTGATTAGGGTTAAATTATGTAATTATACACAAAATCAGGTGCCTCACTTTTAGGTGATACAGCGGTACCATATTACATACTACTCTGACCCACCCTTTTTAGATCCAACGGAACCCTTTATATAAATCAACTTTTCCGCATGAATTACTTCATGGTATCTTCTTATCAAGGCCACAGACCTTGCCGTACCGGATTTATTAATCAAAGTGAGTCACTTTAGCCCTCTTCTTCTTTAGAGCTTTAGGTTAGTGATCAAACTCTTCGCTACTCGCTCTTCACTGGATCTATCAGGACAGATTCACATCTTTTTAGGTCTCAACCAGCCTTAGTTTTCCTGTTTTCATCATGTAGTACGTTCTGCTACCTCCATTTTAGCACCACCCAGCTTCCATCAGTTCACTCTAAGTCTAGCTTCGTCGGCGTTTTACTGTTGCAGACTGTATCACTTGCACTGTTCTATTGCAGTACTCCTGCACTGTAGCTCTGTGTCCCTGACTACACCGTGGTTTACACTGCCCCTAAACTGCAATCTTAAGTAACTTTAGTTCCGGCACTCTTTGGTCATTAAAATAACCAACTCCAATGAAACCCCGTGTAGCTACGTTCTGCTACATCCATGCTAGCACCACCCAGCTACCACCAGTTTACTCTAAATCTAGCTATTTCTAGCAACTTTTCAATGCTATCTCCAGCTCTATCCCGACCCTGGCAATGACATATGGGGTTATTCGAGGTATATGGCATAGCAAACGAAGCGGCATGCGCATTCACAATACAAAAAAGCCACAATGGATGATGGAAGGTATATTTACACTCGCTTCCTATACCCCCCCTATAATACCAGGCCTCTTGCGAGTTGCGAGAGTGACAAAAAGTGCACAGTTTAAAGAAACCCCTGTGAGAAATCGCATTTCTTGCACAACTGGGTCTAATTATAGAGGTAAATAAGAGGTCCGGTACATTCAGATACCCGGTATAGATTGGCAAGATTGACAGAGGTTTTGATCATTGAAATCAATACAATGATAGTACAGCAGGTAAAATCGGTTCGATCTTAAATGGTCCTTTTGTGCTGTTTCTTTATGTGGAATTTGATAAAGCTGTATTGTAATTAGTTATGAAACTCTAATATTGTGTGGTTAACCTTTTTCAGGTCCAGCCCTTTCCGCTAAGCTATTCCTAATTACTAAAATATGTCGAGATTTACTGAACTCCAACTTCAAATATTGATGATTTTAGTATTCCTCAATCTAAAAATCTTCGAAATTTTTCTGCAAAGCATTTTTATCCACGTTTCATGCAATTCGATCACTTTTGGCGGAAAAAATATTTTCAAATTTTCAAACTTTTTTTCAAGTCTCGAAAAAAAATTTTAAGTCAAAAATTTTTGAAGTTTTTCTAAAAACTACATTTCTCCGTGTTTCAAACGATTTCAATCATTTTGAGCCAATAAAAAATTTTCACTTTTTTTGGTGATTAACTAATTGGTAATTATCCAATTAGCTGATTGTCCAATGTAAAAATTTTTGTAACAAAAGTTTTACTCCTTGATAAGATAAACATTCTAGGTTAATTTTCAGCCTTCTACGACGTTCACAACTAAAGATATTTGGCAAACCAGAAAAGTGGTACAAAGGTGGTAAAAAGTGGTAAAAGTGGTGTTTCTGTTGAGATACAAAATTGGCAACAAGTCTAATTATGTTCGTAGGGGTCCTAACTACCATATTCCGTTGAGAAATCCTTGTGAACATTCAAATCCAACGGAACCCTTAAATCGACCACTTTTCCCCTTACTATATATTCAATTCGCCATAAGTAGATATATGATTATCTTTCTAAATTTATATCTGTATTGCTTCTTAGAAACGAGGTATATAAACCCGCTCATAGACCAACGTGACAACACAATATAATATAATTAGAATATATTACCTGCAAAAGCAATACTAGCAAGCCAGTTGTCAATCCCTGGAGTGACCTCAATACGGAAATTATTACGAACGCCAGTCGACCATCCGGATACCTTTCCAAAACCAGGTCTAGAACTCCCATCAGGGCTAGAAAAAGTGCATTGAGAAAGAACAGTACTGCACATCTTGTGATGACAGGACTTTGTGTTATGGCCTTTGGAAAGAACCGAAACAGATACGGACTCACCGCTGTAGTAATAAGTGTCATCGAGATCGCAATGGTACCTTTTGAAATGAAGAATTGAATGTTTACAAAATGAAATAGAGATAAATAGATATAATTATTCAATTTTGTTCAAAAATAATCTAAAATTTTTGCCTTCCACGAGGTTATCTGCCTTACATTTTAAGGAGAGTTAAAGTGGTGTAATTAAGTATTGAGTCCCGGATTCACAAAATTCAAATTAATATTCCTTACCGATGGTGCTGTTTAAATTCCTCTTCTTTAAGAACTCAAAATAGAATCCGCTAGTAAAGTTTCTAGTTGCCATGGCTGCCATACAACCCATACAGGAAAACAGAACAATAATTGCCAGCTCCCAACTCCTCAGTCTATTTGTACCTGCGATGAAGATAGTGTTATCGTGGTTAAAATTCGTACCACTCGCCTGCTAATCATTGACATACTCATAGTCTATTTTTCTGTTTCACTATCGTTCTTACCATAGCGTTCAATTCCTTTTTTCTCGCTATTTTTCGAATTAACATTTTGAACCGTTCCATAATTTGCTATTACTCTGTCCTTCATGCCGACATTTTTCTGAAAGAATTTTAAATGTCCATCAATCATTGCCCTGTTTTGCCATAAAGCAGTGGTCAACTCAGACATGCTGTATTACGAAAAATACCAAATACAACGTATTGAAAGGGACACATTTTATCAGAAAAGCTCGTTAAAAATTACAAAGCAGTCGTGAAATCTACAGTGAAAAGTGGGGTGAAAAACGAATGTTTTTTGGGCTGACTGAAAATATTCGAAACGAAAAGTGTTTGTCACGAGGATATAATGGTTAATATGCAGAACGAGAATGGCACAAACTCAGGGATAGCCAAACGTGCACCATGTACGTGGGTCAGCAATATGAGGGTCAGCAATATTCTGAGAAATTAAAATTTTCCAACTATTACATGTAACAGAGGGTCGTCATAATTCGGAATCGCAATAGATGGAAGTTAAACTTCTTGTTCCTATTTGCGTTCGTTTTCTGGTCGGGTCGGGCGCAACACTGCCACCCAAAGTATCCTCCGGAAAGTTAACTTCATGATATCATGATCCATGTTTTTTTTTCGCCGCATGATGGAATATAATGAATACTATATATATATTTCGCCGTGGATTTCCCCTGAAGACACCCTGAAAATGTTGAAATTTGATAAAATGTGGCTAATGAGTAAATATTCAATAAATACAGCGCGGAGACAATAATTCGAAGAAAACAAACTTTTCGAGGAAAACTTTCAACGAACACAAACTTAAGGGGCCATCTACTTTAGAGGACGTCCGGCATAGAGGGTGGGGGTCGTTTTGAAAAATTAAATTGCTACCAACTTTTGAGCTTATAGTTATGTTACGGGTATGTTACTCATGACATAATTTATGTTCTATAACATGGTTTCTTTTCAGTGCCGACAGCCGCTGAAGACGACAGAGAACACGGTGCCTCCTGTTACGGGAAAAAGAAGAAAGGTAACGAAGCAGTCCAGCACGCCCCGCAGTGAGAACTTCAGCAAACCCAGAAGTGCTCATGAAAGTGGGGACCTGCCCATGGAGCTGAAGAAAATAACAAACAGTAGTGTTAATACCAGGTGAGGCTACTGGCTGCGTACTTACTTTGGTTACTTTGGTTGTGTTTATCCTCGTAGCAGGACGGGTCATCAGATTTCTGACCACCTCGATGGCGAGTAGTCTACCAGGGAATTAGACCAGCTGCAGCTATAACCGGGAGTCGGAGGGTTGTCCGGTATCAAAGCAATAAACTTGGACAAACTAACTTTAAACGACTCAAAAGTAGCTTCAGCTTTAATACCATCAGGCACTTTGTTCCATAGTTTTGGTCCTCTCACAGCGAATGAGCTATCATAGAGTGTCTGGTTGCTCGAGGAACTCAACCTAGACAGGGAAGGGATGATTGCTCGGTTACCATGTCTGGATGTTTTTGTGAACCTAATATTGCTGCAATTGGGGACAACATCGTGAAGGATCTTCCACATCATCAGAATGGTGTACTGTTCCCTTCTGCGCTGCAGTGACATCAGCTTTAGATGTGAAAGCCTCTCCCAGTAGTTGTCCGGGCAGATTGAACTACTAATAAAATTCAACATTTAAACTGATCCTGTTATTGAAGTTTCACTGTTACCTATTAAACCCAGATAACCATCTTAAGTAAAGAGTATAAAAACAATAGTTTCATACTTGTGTACTATACATGTTTACTATACTTGTGTACTATACTTGTGTACTATACATTTTTACTATACGTGTGTACTATACATGTGTACTATACTTGTGTACTATACATTTTTACTATACGTGTGTACTATACATGTGTACTATACTTTTTTAATATACGTGTGTACTATACATGTGTACTATACATGTTTACTATACGTGTGTACTATACTTTTTATTATACATGTGTACTATACATGTGTACTATACGTGTGTAATATACATGTGTACTATACGTGTGTACTATAAGTGTGTACTATACATGTCTACTATACATGTGTACTATACATGTGTACTATACATGTGTACTATACATGTGTACTATACATGTGTACTATACATGTGTACTATACATGTGTACTATACATGTGTACTATACATGTGTACTATACATGTGTACTATACATGTGTACTATACATGTGTACTATACATCATGTGTACTATACGTGTGTACTATACATGTGTACTATACATGTGTACTATACATGTGTACTATACATGTGTACTATACATGTGTACTATACATCATGTGTACTATACGTGTGTACTATACATGTGTACTATACATGTGTAATATACATGTGTACTATACATGTGTACTATACATGTGTACTATACATCATGTGTACTATACGTGTGTACTATACATGTGTACTATACATGTGTACTATACATGTGTACTATACATGTGTACTATACATGTGTACTATACATCATGTGTACTATACGTGTGTACTATACATGTGTACTATACATGTGTACTATACATGTGTACTATACATGTGTACTATACATCATGTGTACTATACATGTGTACTATACATGTGTACTATACATATGTACTATACATGTGTACTATACATCATGTGTACTATACGTGTGTACTATACATGTGTACTATACATGTGTACTATACATGTGTACTATACATGTGTACTATACATGTGTACTATACATCATGTGTACTATACATGTGTACTATACATGTGTACTATACATGTGTACTATACATGTGTACTATACATGTGTACTATACATGTGTACTATACATGTGTACTATACATGTGTACTATACGTGTGTACTATACATGTGTACTATACTTGTGTACTATACATGTGTACTATACTTGTGTACTATACATGTGTACTATACATGTGTACTATACATGTGGGTTAATAATATTACTCATCAGGAGAGCCCGCACTCCACCTACTGCCTCCTCCAAGCGCCTACAGCTTCTCAACAACCAGCCTGAAAAGCGTTCCAGAAAAGAGCCAACGTTGAACGACTCAAAACCAGAGGTTGTCCAGATTCCAGATAAACTTACTGTTGGAAAAAGGAAAGGCAATATCACTTCAAAAGTTGTTAAGGTAGTCCCAGTCTTTAACAGCCTTAAGGGGGCAAACCCCAAATCTGTCCAGACCTAATGACCTCATAGGCAGTTCAGTGACCTTCTAGCGCACCGTTTCCACACAAAAAAAATCATTTTGAGAATTCCCATTTTTGTAATCGACCATTTCCTGGTTAAGAGTGCAATTTTCGGAAATAATTATTTTGTGGTTGAGACGCTATAAGTTAATCATTTCTTGCGGTATCGGGTTGAAATTTTGCTCGCCCTTTATTCACATCTATTTCAATGTGTGTGTAAAATCTTGATATCGTATCTAAAAAGGCTGGTGTGTTATGAATTTTTAAAGTCAAAAAGCTAAAATTGTCCTTTTCAGGCTTATTTTAACAAAAAGTCAGTCAGGGAAGATCGGATTGATTTGATGCTTGACATCAAATTGTTCTCTGAATTCTGGCGCAGATTTTGATGCCCTCAAAAATGTTTTTACTCATTCCCCTTCAGATCTATTGGACCTCAAAGCCAAACAACAAATTTAGGCACATTTTTCGTTTTTAATATATACCGATTTTTCTAAAATTTTGATAGGAATGTGCTAGTGACTTTTTGAAGGGTGCAAAATAACCGCAACTAGCACATTTATACATGAGTTATGAACAACAAAACACCCTAACATGCTTCCCTTTGAAGTTATGGGAGAAAATGTGATTTTTTGGCTTTGCAGATGAAAAATCACATTTTCTCCCATAACTTCAAAGGGAAGCATTTTAGGGTGTTTTGTGGTTCATAACTCATATATAAATGTGCTAGTTGCGGTTATTTTGCACCCTTCAAAAAGTCACTAGCACATTCCTATCAAAATTTTAGAAAAATCGGTATATATTAAAAACGAAAAATGTGCCTAAATTTGTTGTTTGGCTTTGAGGTCCAATAGATCTGAAGGGGAATGAGTAAAAACATTTTTGAGGGCATCAAAAACTGCGCCAGAATTCAGAGAACAATTTGATGTCAAGCATCAAATCAATCCGATCTTCCCTGACTGACTTTTTGTTAAAATAAGCCTGAAAAGGACAATTTTAGCTTTTTGACTTTAAAAATTCATAACACACCAGCCTTTTTAGATACGATATCAAGATTTTACACACACATTGAAATAGATGTGAATAAAGGGCGAGCAAAATTTCAACCCGATACCGCAAGAAATGATTAACTTATAGCGTCTCAACCACAAAATAATTTTTTCCGAAAATTGCACTCTTAACCAGGAAATGGTCGATTACAAAAATGGGAATTCTCAAAATGATTTTTTTTGTGTGGAAACGGTGCGCTAGAAGGTCACTGAACTGCCTATGAGGTCATTTGGTCTGGACGGCACAAACCACTGTTTTGGTGTATGCCCCCTTAATATCAATGTTTAAAATTTTGATCGTTTTCATCAATTTTCGTGGCAGTAATGTTCAGAAACTTTCACATATTACGTAAGCGGCACAGGGAGGAAAGAGTTATGTAACAAGAAATGCGGCCGCTTTTCTTTTGTGGATGGCTGCTCCATTTCCCGATCCGTGATGGCGTATTTTATCATATTCCGTACAACCTGGGGACCCCTGGCTTTACTGTTTATACTTCATAAGCATGCAAATATGGCGGAGTGATAGGCCGAGCGCCGCCCAGTTAATTCTATATTGAATCTGAAAATCGTATACATTTCTATGTAACCATATGTTTATGCAACCTGATATTACACGGATATGTGCAAAATAGTAATACTAACTCGAAATAATATGCTATCAATTAGTGCCTAGTGGGATACCTACACGGTGAAATTAACGATTTACTTGATCGCCAATAATAATTTAATTCAGAATATCTCGCAAAATAACTTTACTATACTGTGAGAAGATGAAGATCAGACCTCGTTATTTGCGCAGTTATATTAGGAACGTGGGCGACATACTCGCAAGCTACCGTATACGGAAAAAACTCGTTCGCTAACCCTTGCCTTCAGCACAGAAGTCATGGATCGGGAAAAAATGCTAACAGGGAGTCTCATTGGCACTGTTACTAACATTTTCGTGAACCGCTGCTACAATTAAAATTCTGCTCAGATAAAAAAATCGGCAGCACCAAAAAAGTCTCAAGGACCGAAGAAAGCAGGAATTGAGGCGCCTTTACCGGTGAACTCCGTGATTGTGAACTCCACTCAGAAAACAAAGTAAGCAACTGGCAACATTATTATGATTGGAAGTGTTTATTTTCTTGCTATTAACCCATTCAGCTCGTATAGCTCTATCTTTTGAACCAAGTCATTCATTGAGTGACATCGTTCATTAGGGGGGGGGGGGCCAACGCTCCAAAAGGCCCCACACATATCGAAAATCCGAAAAGGGCCCTAGAAATCGGGGCCTTTTGGGGCGTTGCCCCCCCCCCCCCCCCCCCCCCCCCCTACTTACTCCCTTTAAATAAAACTCTGCTTTTTTAAAGAGATACTTTTTACTCCAGTTTATCCAAGCAACCATATGGATAAATTGTTACCGGCCAATTACAGGAGCCGAAAGTACAATTACAATTAGTTCGGTGACGTTTTAGGAAGTGTATTCCATACTTTCGTCGCCTGTGGCTCTGATACAATGGGCAGCTACTCATTTTACCCTCAATCACGTTCCCGATCATTTGTCTAAGTAAACCGATTGAATAAACCATTGATCCAACGGAATCTTTAGCCCACTCCCTAGACTAGTTACTAACCACTTGGCCACTCAGCCTTTAAAAGTTAAAATTGTGTACGTGACTAAAATTGTGCGTGACTAAAATTGTGCGTGACTAAAATTGGTAAAGAAAGTATGTGCTACTTTGTTATGTTCGAAAAAAGGAAGTAGATGACGTTCAGAATAGGAAGTTGTCTCATCCAATGTGTTTCTGAGAAAAGGGTTTAAGTTATTAACTTTCTTCCCAGGTACACTCTAGAAGAAGTATTAGGATCAGGTGGATTTGGTTATATCTACATAGTCACCGTCGAGGGCACAAAGCGCAAAGCTGTCATGAAAGTCGTAAGTTATAAATATAATTAAATGTAACAATATCTGGACTCTTGACAAACTCCGCTCTATTTAAAACGGTAGCTTGGCTTTTTCGATTTATCGAACTTTTAAGGGGGGTTCACCCTGATTTTTTCGTGAAACTTGGTTTCGAGATAGCAGTTGACCAACAAACTAGGACCAGTGGGGCAGCCACGCCCATATTTGGTCCAAATTAGGCCCAATTTAGCCAAATACCCTGAACATGCCCAAAACCCCGGTTTTAGGTGCTCTACGTCTTGTAGTTGTAGCTAGTGGTGCCCTGAACTCATTAGGATTGGACAAAAAATGACTGAATTATGAGCTAAAAACTATATGCCCATATTTGGGTATACTCTAGAGCGGGGGACTGTAGAGCGGACTTGGTCGGAAGTCGGACCCTAGAGCGGAGTCGAATCGCCAGGGTAGGACTATAGAGCGGAACTCCCTTACAGCAGTATAAATGTCACGGAGAATTTAGTTTTAGTATATCACATTCATCTCCTCTTTACAACTATCTACAATATGCAAAGTAACAGTCATTCCATAACTCGATTTTCAAAACTAACTTTACTCTCAAATTTCTAACCGCTCAAAAATCTGCATGTGGGTACCGCTCTAGAGTCCTCATAGTATGGGTCCGGTAAGGGAGTTCCCCTCTAGAGTCCTACCCCGGCAATTTGACTCCGCTCTAGGGTCCTACTATACGCTCAGTTCCCACTCTGTTGGCCATAACCACTCTGATATGAAGATCCTCTGTCTTGATATCTACTTCTATTACCAGAAAAATCTGCTCGGACAGTTTCTCTGAAAATTCCCTCTATCACCACACTTCCAACAACCTGTAAAAGTGTTGTGGTAAGCTGTATTTTTGGACGTTGATTCCGAATCACCCCCCGTGGGTAAAAATGCTTCCCTGGAAAGTTATGGAAAAAAAACTGTTTTGGTCACGTGACAGGCTAGGAAACATAAATTCGATCGTTTAGGTCTTGGGTTGTGGTTAGGGTTATGGATAGCTTCGGGGTTATGGTTAGGGTCCGGTTGGGATTTCTTAGATCTTTTCTGAGATTCATAAATTTTATAGATTCTTTTCTGAGACTCAGATTTCTTAGATTTCGTTTTCAAAATCACCTGGACACCCTTTTGAAAATGATTACAGTGCAGGTTTCTACTGAGTAGATTATACTAACCATTTGACATGAGACCCACCTACAGGAGCCTCAAGATAATGGGCCCTTGTTCAGTGAGATGCACTTCTATCAGCGTGCTGGGAAGAATGACCAGCTCCAATCCTGGACCAAATCTAACAAACTCAAATACTTGGGGATACCCGAGATGTATGGGTTTGGGATACACCTTTACAACAAGATCAAATACAGGTAGGGAGCATCTGTGTGTTAAATGTTCATTAGTTTCAGAATAGGCAATATAAGCATAGATTTCCTTAAGTTATTTATTTTAAATAAGGTGTGTAGTCAGTGTAGCTTTCGTTGCAATTACCGAGCTCTCTTATCTTTTGTAACTTGCGATAAGTTTAGTTTGCTGCTACCGCGTAGTTAGCCTTTGCGTGTGTACTTGTACATTCCTATACATTATACAAGTACACTATGGAGGATGATCTTAATGTGACCCAATCTCTGGAGGAAATTCAAGCATTCGATTATGATGAACTGGAAAATGTTGAGGGCTGTGTTACTAAGTGGTTTATTGCGTTGGAAAAGAACTGAAAATCGAAAACGTCAACCATGATATTTATGAAGATATGTTTATAAAAGGACTCTGGCACTCTGGCTTGTGGAAGCAATAGACCTCGTTCGACGGCAGGAATGCCAGATGGCTAGCATGACGGAGAATGGAGATCATCCATTGCTTCAAGACGGAAGCGTTATCAAACAATACAAGGCTAAGGTGATCAGGCTGCAGGGCCAGCTGCTTGTGCAGAAGGACAAACAACTACAGTTGTTTAAGACGTCGGTTGAAGAGACAGTGCAAACAACGGTGGAGTCAGGGATTCAGAGCTACAGTGCAGCTGTACAACAGAACAGTGCAAGTGGTACGGTCTACAACAGTAACATTCTGAAGAAGGTGATGAAGAGTGTGGCTGCAGAGGAGGACAGGAGCAAGAACCTGATTGTGTTTGGGCTGAAAGAAGAGGAGAAAGAACAGCTTCCAGCGCTAGTAACCGCGGTTTTGGAGGAGATCGGGGAGAAACCTCATTTCGAAGCGACTAGAGTCGGCTAGAGTCGACCAGTCAAGATCACCGTCCCAAGCTCAACAACAGTTCATCAGATTCTAATGAAAACAAGGAGACTGAGGCTAGTTGAGACCCACAAAGATGTATGGATCTGTCCAGATAGATCCAGCGAAGAACGAGCAACGAGGAAGTATCTGGTCACTGACCTGAAGAAGGAGAGGGCTGAACAGACTCATACAGCTTTATTTTTTGATTGTTTCACACTTTTCATATTTTATAATTTTATTACTAGGTGGAGGTGATGTTATTGAGACTTTGGGCGGCCATAAAACTCGTGTTTTGAAAGTTGTCCTCTGTACTTGTTTCACGCTTTTTAGCATTTATACATTTCGACCCAATTTATATGTTTGTTCGATTTGCTGTACATTTGTATATTTGCTATTTTGTAAAAGTATCAAATCAGCATTCAGCATTTAATAAATTATTGATGATTTAAAATATAGAGCTGCCGAAAAGAGAAAAAAATAAATGAGCAAAAAGAAAAGAGGAAAGAAGGACTATAAAAGGGAGAAATTGCCAAACATTTCTCATTTTACTTAGTTTATTCCACGGACTTTCTGACCTCCCATATTTCGAAAACGGTCGTAAAGGTATTTTAAGATATCCATGTGAGGAATGACCATTGATTTGATCTCTTTCTAATTGGTGTATGCCTTGGTCAGGTACTTGGTTATGCCGTTATTTGAAGGAGACCTATTAAAGAAGCACGAAGAACACAAGAAGAAATTCTCCGTACAGACTACCCTTATCCTCTGTATTCGGTAAATGTTTCAACTTCTTACCTTGTTTAATACAGGGTGGCCCAGAAGTAACTGCCCACAGGCAACCCTTTAACTTTGACACGAATAACATGAGTTATTAAGGTCAGAGGGGGGTAAAAACTATTTTTCCAGTTTTCACATATTATGTGTTAGAGCTGCTGAAAACAAACAAGGAAAAAACCGGACTGAAACTGGAATTTGTCAAAAATCACATTTTGTCATTTTGTTAACCTCATATTTCAAGAACAAAGGCAAAAATCAAAATTCTAAAACATAACGTTTTTGCGTGACACCCCAAAGAACACCCGTACCGGGTTTCAGCTCCTGGTTGTGGTCTTTTCCAAAAGTGAATGTTAACCTTTTTTGAGTTTAAGTTTAAGTTTTACATGTAATTACAGGTAAACCGCAATATTTGTTGCGCGATATCTCAAAAACGCAAGGTCAAATCTCAGTTCGGTTTTTTTCTTCTTGTTCGTTTCCAACAGCTCTAACTCATGTGTGAAAACTGGAAAAATTATTTTTACCCCCCCCCCCCCCCCCCCGGCCCCCCCTTCTGACCTTAAAGGGTTGCGTGGGGCCCTGTTCGTCGTCCGCCCCGCGTTTTAGTATGTTTAACAAGTAATATACTGGAGGGGGTTGTAGTATAGTCCCTCAGCATATTACAATGCATATTCCCTGCAGGATGGTAGAAGCACTGCAGTACATGCACGAGGCTAGCTACGTGCACGCAGATATCAAGAGCGCTAATATTCTCCTCAGGAACGGCGGCAAAGAGGTACGATTATATTCTACTGCATTTATGTGCATCTTTTCTTGCGGTGTTTTAGCCGGTATCTTGCCCACATTTAATACTGTTTTTTTTTTAATTTATAATTCTAGAGCTTTTCTTCATTTGTTGGTAATCTTCTATTTACATATTCAATAGTTCACATATTCACTAGTTCACATTTTGACTGGTCAATTTCCTCTATTTGTTTTAGGTTTTCCTAGCTGATTTTGGATTGGCTCGCAAGTACGTTATGGAGGGAGTACACAAGACTTATAAGGAAGAACCAGCTAAAGCTCACGATGGCACTAAGGAGTTCACCAGTATAGATGCCCACAAAGGTAACCTAACATTCCTGCAGGAGTAACCTAACATTCCTGCAGGAGTAACCTAACATTCCTGCAGGAGTAACCTAACATTCCTGCAGGAGAAACCTAACATTCCTGCAGGAGTAACCTAACATTCCTGCAGGAGTAACCTAACATTCCTGCAGGAGTAACCTAACATTCCTGCAGGAGTAACCTAACATTCCTGCAGGATTAACCTAACATTCCTGCAGGAGTAACCTAACATTCCTGCAGAAGTAACCTAACATTCCTGCAGGGGTAACCTAACATTCCTGCAGGATTAACCTAACATTCCTGCAGGAGTAACCTAACATTCCTGCAGGAGTAACCTAACATTCCTGCAGGAGTAACCTAACATTCCTGCAGGGGTAACCTAACATTCCTGCAGGGGTAACCTAACATTCCTGCAGGGGTAACCTAACATTCCTGCAGGAGTAACCTAACATTCCTGCAGAAGTAACCTAATATTCTTGCAGGAGTAACCTAAATATGTATCGAATGAAATGTGTATCGAATGAAACCTAGTATTTCGGAATAAGGGTGGTAGTTAGTGTCTAATTAACTGATGTTTATTGAATCTTTATTACCGAGGACAGCTACCTTACAAAGTCGAAATGTAAATTCATAACTTCATTAATAAGTAGGTTATTTCGACGATTTCGAAATGTTACCTTTGAAAACATTTCCTTGTGTTTAGGTAAGCATATCTGTCGATCACTGACTGAATATGCCACTTTATACTCATTCAAGTTGGCTTTAAATTCATATTAAATGCCATTTAACTGTCGTGGGAAAGCAAAATTTGTTCGAAATCACGAATGAGTCAAATTATCACCTGTCGCACGTGCAAACTTTGAGTGGACGTTGCGTTCGCATAAAATATTGAATCACCGTACATTTTTATTTGTTTGATAAGCAATAAGCATGCAAAGTTTCGAAAGATTTCAAAAAAGAACTTGGATCACAACGGGACTCCAAAGTTGACAGAAAATGGTGAAAATAGCAATTTTCAGTGATTTTAACATATTTATATCAGTTTGGGCGTGTCCCCACGTGTGCAACTTTTCGACTTTCAACTTTAAAACTAGCCTAATACACAATATAGACCTATAAGTATAGGAAGCAGAACTGAGCTCCACAACATTCCTGCAGAAGTAACCTAACATTCCTGCAGGAGTAACCTAACATTACTGCAGGAGTAACCTAACATTCCTGCAGGAGTAACCTAACATTCCTGCAGGAGTAACCTAACATTCCTGCAGAAGTAACCTAACATTCCTGCAGGAGTAACCTAACATTCCTGCAGAAGTAACCTAACATTCCTGCAGGAGTACCGCCCTCCAGACGAGGAGATATGCAGATACTAGGCTACTGCTGTATTAACTGGTTGGGGGGGTCATTACCTTGGTATTCCTGGGATAACTGTAACAACATCCGCTCTGAGAAGATTAAGTAAGTTGTTGAGATGGTTCTCAGTTTGGACATTTTGACTTCGAACAAAAAGCTAATTAAATGACTAAGTTACACAGTAAAACTCCGGGGTTTTACTGTAATTAGATTTCTGTTATAGTTAGATTTGTTATTACTTATAATAGTTATGTTTCTGTTCAATAAATTTATGAGAAAAATTTGCTTTTTAAATCATTTTCCGATAAATAACTTTTTTACAGGTATGAGAAGAAAAGCTCTAACTTGTTGGAGTTCAGTTTGGGTCTAGCTAACTTATCTTCCAAACCTTGGAAGGGTAAGTTAGGCTCTCATTTCTTATTTCGCATCGGGCATTTTCTTAAAACCTTTTTACTACAATTTAACTGATTTTGCAACGGTTTATACTATACGGGGAACATGCCCAAAAGATGGCGGTTAAAATGGGGAGGTGAGCCGAATTAAAGGTAGTGGGGAGCTCAATATGGGTTTATAATGTCGCCCACCCCCCCCCCCCCCCCTGGTTTCTGTCATCTAATTGTTAAACTATTCCCCATTAGATGGGGCTTATGAATGAATAAACTTGACGATATCCCCCATTTCAGCTATTAAGAACTTCTTGACGAACGTGTTTTCCCTGGGTTACGAAGACAAACCCAGCTACTCCACCATTTCCTCTTATCTCAAGTCCGGCCTCACTACAACAGACACTGGGTACATGGTATGGTCGTGAGAACAAGGCAGTAACTTTGTTAATGGAGACAATTAATCACTGTTTTTAACAGGTTTAACGTTAAGTGACTACGTCATTACTACGTCATTACTACGTCATTACTACGTCATTACTTTATAATGACACCTAGTTGGGTGTAATTGTAACACCGTGTTCTGGTTCTGTTCTTGCTCCTTTTTATGGAAGTGAAGAGAGAAGGAGAAGCTCAATAACTAATAATGCTAATATTGCAGAGATATCTGAATGACATTTCATGATTTTAGAGTCACATGCAATTTAATTATTATTAAAATGAGGTTTCGAATTGTTTTTTCATTTGTTGTACTTTCAACTTTTAGTATTAAGAATTTATGGTTTTGAAAATACTCTAAATTTCACACCCTTTAGAATTTCGATTTAAATAATAAACCTTTTGGATTAGTTACATTTTGAACCGTATTTTTTAGCAACCGTCAACTCATCTGAAATAGATATATATTTCTTGAAAATGTTCTCAATAATATATCTGATACGGGTTATTGAATTAAGAAGGAGTGACGTTTTTTATTTGCAGTTAACCAAAATGGGGGTACCATATTTAAGTACCTTTTATTTTAAGGGGGGGGGGGTTCACCCTGATTTTTTTGTGAAACTTGGTTTCGAGATAGTAGTTGACCAACAAACTAGGACCAGTGACCGAACTTTTGAGGGGGTCCCGGACCCCAACCGCCAAACGGTGCCCGCGAGGCAGCCACGCCCATATTTGGTCCAAATTAGGCCCAATTTAGCCAAATACCCTGAACATGCCCAAAATCCAGATTTTAGGTGCTCTACTTGTAGCTAGTGGTCCCCTGAACTCGTATATGAATTTTCATCAAGATTGGACAAAAATTTGCAATGCAAAATTCAGAATTTGGCCGCCAAATTTTTTAAAAGGCCTAACTCAAAATTCCAATACAAAACTTAAGGTCAAAATGCGATTCTACGTTGATTCTGAAAATTTCATGTAAAAATATTGAAACCCTATTGAGTTCTATTGTTTTGAGCGAAGTCAGTTTTGCAAATATCGCGAACTGAGATATGGGCAATTTTGTTCATTTTTTGCGATTATTTGAACACAGAATCCACAGTTTGATAGATACTGAGCTGATAATCATAGATAATGTGTAGTATAGGCTTACCTTCCATATAAAGTTGGTTTCATTAAAAATATTGATAATTGACCAATTTATGGGCCAAAATCGATCAAATTTGGTGCGTATGCCCAAATATGGTCATATGGGTTTTGGCTCATAACTCATTTTTTGTCCAATCTTGATGTAAATTCATATACGAGTTCATGGGACCAAAAAGTTATTTTCCGCAATTTTCTGGATTCATTTATTGTTGTTGCGCGGCGCTACATTGGTCGAATAAATCGTCAATTTTTACCATGCACGAATCCTACTCATTTATAAAAAACATAGTATGTAAATATGTTGCACTTTTTTACTCAAAAGAATCAATGGTACAAGTACATCGTAGGGAAACTTAATCGTGCGTGGTTAAACCGCGGCAAAATTTTTGCTGAGCTTGTCTTTCTCTTTCAAAAGCATTCCGAGTGATTTGTTTAAATGCACATTGATTCTAAATACATTCTGCATTCATCATTGCAAAATATTTGATCTCGATTCTTGAAGTTTAAAGGGAGTAACTCAGTAACAGCAATGCTAAATGTAAGCAATTTGGGGAGAGCTTAATTGACGATGTCAATTCATCCCGGCACGGCACAGTAGAGTCGCTGTGAGAAGCCTCATTGAGTTTACTGGGCCGCGCTCAGCCTGTCATTCCGCCGAATCTCTATGTTTATGAACATAATAGCCTTAGGTCCCCAGGTAAATTTTGCCGATCTAACCACTAACTGATTAGTAAAAGCTGTTATGGGGATTTTCTGCTTGATACACCAAAGTCGTCAAACATGTTTTAAAAGACGTATTTTTGACCTCTGCACTCTGCATGAATCGATTGGTGATCATGATATAGATACCGAAGAGAAGGTTGCGAGCGAGAAGCATTATTGGATAAACTAAAGTAAAGTAAAGTAAAAATTATGACATAACATCATCACACATGTCTACAAAGTATCAAAACACTATAAGTATATGGAAAAATATAAATATCTTACCACAAAAATTAATAAATTATTAACTACAATTATATTAAAAAATTTCAAATAAATTCATAAATCATCCCCAAAAGATAACCCTATTCATACTTCCCAGTGGAATAAAGATTTATAAATCGCTTTTTTGCCACAAAAGAATTGTTTCACGTTGCGACCCCCACTACACGGTCGTTTCACTATGGTCCTGACAATACAGGGGGAGCCGCGCACTCGTGCGCGGCGGGTCATACAACGTATGACAACAAAAGAGTGGAAATAAAGATAATCGTTATGCTTCTCTTCATTACTTTATTACTGGATGCGCGGCCCAGTAATGCATCGCGCTTCAATTGTGATAGGGTTGCGGTTAGGGTTACGTATACCTTTGGCGTTAAATGGTAAATTAGGTTATGCTAGGATTTATCAAAAACTGATACGTTTTTTATTCATTATTTAGGGAATTTATTATTGTTGGATGAGCCAAATGATAGAAAAAATTGTTGTAGGTTTATAACCTATTAGGACGCGCGCCGAGTTGGACTTGTCCTAATATTTGAAACAAATATTTTGCGAGTATCACCCGTTAAGAAAAGTTCATGATTCGGACATTTCTTGATTCACGATGTCAATCCTTCGCATCTCGCCGATCTGCATGTGGTTGCGAGAAGCATTATTTGATGTGCGCGCGACCCAGTAGTGCATCTGGCATCGCGCTACAAGGACATTTCGTAACACACTACATGCTACTTTGTACTTGTCATACGTTGTATGACCCGCCGCGCACGAGTGCGCGGCTCCCCCTGTATCGTAGAAACTCTACTATAGTGAAGCGACAGTGGGGGTCACCTTACTGGGCCGCGCTCAGCCTGTCATTCCGCCAAATCTATATTCGTTAATGAACATAATAGCCTGGGGTCCTCAGGTAAGGGGTCACCACGTGATAAAAAACATGCTACAAATATATAATAAAATCTAATTTAATATTGATCTGTAATTCGTTTTAATATTATCCACCCTTAATATTTAGAATAGAATCAATAATGAGCTGCTTGCATTATCATTGCTTTGCCTCCCGATCGTTGCAGAGCTATGATCCTAAAAGGGTTAGCATCGTAAATTAACTACGAATTTGATCACCGAGAGGTTTGAAATATTTGTTTCGTGATGATGTTAAGGGGTGATACTTTGTATCACGTTGCGACCTCCACGGTCGTTTCACTATCGTCCTGATACAGGTGACAGGGGGAGCCGCGCACTCCGTGCGCGGCGGGTCATACAACGTATGACAAGTGATACTCGTAAAATATATGTTTCAATTAGGACCGTCGACGAGTCCAACTCGGCGCGCGTCGGCCTGGTAAGTTACAAACCTACAATGGTTTTACCTGGGGACCCCAGGCTATTATGTTCATTAACATAAAGATTTGGCGGAATGACAGGGTGAGCGTGGCCCAGTAAACAATGGTTATATAATTGTAGATTATAAACCTACAATGATGATGAAAGTTCAAGCCCCGTGACATATATTTGATTTATATACTAATAATCGCTGGATTAGCGATAAATTTGTATGGTTTTATATTGCGGTCCCAATTTACGCTCCTACATCCTATTAAATCGCTCTCCCAAATTTTAAGAAAATTCTTGTGAAAAGGCCCTTTGAGTATGAAATTGATCTCAATCGGTGTATTTTTGGACGCTGATTCCGAATCACCCCCAAATAATAAAAGGTGAAAGGTCGGGAAACTGACTTTAGGTTCAAATGGAATATGGTCTTAGCTATACAACGTTGACCTTTTTAATGTCTGTACACACATCGGAATAAGCAAATTAAAAATTTTGCTTGTTTGAAAAAATATATTGTATGACGTATACTGTTACCATTTTTCTCGCTGGTTAATCTGATATAATCCTTAACTTTATTAGTAAAATTATTCAAACAATATAAACATAATTGTCACAATGACCCTATATAAAAACAACCCTTCAAAAAATCAATATATTCCCTATCTCAAATATTGGGAGAAAAATTTGAATATCAACCTTTGCCTTGTGGCTCCAAATTCAAATCTAAACAAATCTAATCCTTAACTTTATTTAGTATTTTTGATTTCAGGAGACCCGTGTTTTGTTTTTAACTTTTTGCTCCGTGGAGGAGAGAAAGTTTTGTTTGAGGAGAACCGCTCAGGCATGGGCACCGTATCGTGTAAATTATTTAGTTTTATTTTATATATATATGTAGTATTTCTGTCGCCTAGTAGCGGACTAGTAAATGCTGTGTTTCGGTTACTTTCGTGACTTTCGTGACGTCTTTCAGTATGATAGGTTTTACTTTCAAAAGGTCTTCTCGGAGTCTTTGGAGTGGCCTGTACCATACATTAATTCCTTATTCTGATGTATGAGATCTCCAATGTACCCTGTTGATTTTTCATAACTCAGATAAATCAAAATTATTGGTATAACATACAACACTATAAATCTAGTACATTTATTGAGCGATGGAAATATTTAAAGCGGGTAATAGCCTGTCCAAACCCAGGCTACATAACATGAATACTATTGACACAGACACCATAAATATTCCTTCCTCCTTCAACCTTATGCGATGCGACAGGCCAAACAGTTCTAGGGGTGGTTGTGGCTTAACCCTTATCATACTGGGGGTGGGTTGATTCGTCCATCCCTCCCGTTCAGTAACAAATAAATGTTACTTAATAAATTTCAATTTTATATTGACTTATATGACTTTTATCAGCATCATTTCCTCTATCAGCCATATTATGTTTATCAACAAGTTTCAATCGGCCGGAGAGCTATTAGCATAATTATGCCGAAATTGCTTCATTTTAGTGCAATTTTTGCTCTCTAGCCTATTAGTGATTTTGCTTCCTATATTAGAGCTGAACACGTGGTATACTGCGTCACATCACGTGATACAGGAGCTCTGGGACCAAATTGAGGTTCCTAGTACAAGGGCATAGTGGGTCTAGCACTTCACCCTTTCATGCACGTCAATGGCTAATCCAATCAAGCTTACACTCAACTCAACACACTTGAGCCGACCGCTTGAACACCTATAGTTTACGAGAAACAATATGACAAATCTAAAAATTTGAATAAATGTTTCAAGAAATTGTTAAAATAATGTTAATTAGTAGAAGAACCAATGCAACCTAAAGTTTATGTATCTTTTCGACCCTCTATTGAAAGGTTTTATTGTTAGCCAGTAAAAATATCTCCAATTCGTCTGAATGTTTAACTTCAACTGCAAGTGGTGTTCAGTGTTGTAAATTATTTGAACGGGTTACAACAACAATAACATCTATGTACAGATTAACCTGAAACGTCAAGGATACCATGACCAACGCTCGAATCGTTGAATTCATGGAAAAACTTATCCTGAACTTCTTATGAATAACAAGTACACCTACATTAGCATAACTGACAAGGTTGAGATGTGTGCTTTCATTGGCCTTATCTACTTTCGGGGAGAGGAGCTGCCCTTGACGATCTGCGGACTATTTACTCACTTTCTGACGGACTTTCCAGCATTTCCTGCGGTGATGTCTAGGAACAGATTCTTCTTTCTGTCGACGAAAATAACATTTGAAACTAAAGAGTTGCGACACGATAGAGCAGAGCATTGGAAAAAAGACTGGTTCACGGCAATTCGCGAGTTTTACGAAAAGTGCCAAGCTAATTTCGCCACGGCACTAATACCTGAACAGTGAACAATACCTCACAGTTGATGAATGCCTGTATCCGACTAGAAAGCGCATCAGTTTTCTCCAGTACATGAAGAGCAAACCAGCAAAGTATGGTATTCTCTTCAAATCACTCAAGTTCTCAACTCGGTGATATACACGTACACCTATCAAGCCCATTAGACCTTGCCCGTGCCCTCTTCATTCCTGCTATTAGGAACAGGTCCTTGCACGGCCTTAGCACCTGGACCCTTACCAACTGCTACTTAGAGACCGAAGACCCTAAGTTTCTGAGGAGTACGGATCATGATACAAGTCGTGACCCAAACACACCATTGCTTCCCTTGGTGAGTCCAGGTCTGCCTAGTCGGTGTGTTCAGTGTGTATATATATATATATATAACTCTAAAACTCTGGTCACAAGAGCAACTGCCTAAACGTGCAGAAGTGAAAACAAATAAATAAAATACTAGCAATCCTTTAAATTCGCAATAAATAAGTTCGTTCAATGTCATTATATAATTCTAAAACCACATATATG